CAAAGATGTGCAGATTGTAGCCGCACCCACCTCTGTGTTACCAAAGGCTTTTTACAAACTTGGCAATGACTCCTACAAACTGGTGGCCCAGAAGATGACAACATATTTGGCAATGATTCCTACAAACTGGTGGCCCAGAAGATGAGATGGGATGAGGCAAGGAGGCAGTGCAAAGCAGATGATGCAGATCTGGCCAGTATCCTGAACCCCATCACCCAGGCATACATCACCTTACGGATTTCCAAGCACAATGAGCCTGTATGGATTGGGCTCAACAGCAATGTGGTAAATAATCCTACCTACTGTTTTAAGCATAGGCATAAACAATTAGTGCAAACCACTATTTCAAGCTCTGCATAAACTTTCATTAATACTTTATGTCTTTAACAGACTGGTGGCCGGTTCAAGTGGGTTGATAACTGGCTTCTGTCGTACACCAAATGGGGTAGAGATGAGCCTAAAAACAACTATGGCTGTGTGTATATCGACGTAGACAGGACGTGGAAGACTGCACCATGTACTAATAACTACTATTCCCTTTGCAAGAGGTCTCCAGGTGAGACAGTCCCTCTATTGGTACTCCAAACCAGTTAGCATGATTAAGCAGCAGCATCTGAGACTAGAATGCGATCTTCGGTCTCTTTTTCAGATGAGGTGCCCACTGAGCCCCCACAGCTTCCTGGCAACTGTCCAGAGCCAAAGAAACTAATAACCTGGATACCTTTCAGAGGCCATTGTTATGCCTTCCTCAGTTCAAAGGTGGACAACTGGGCCCATGCCTCAGTTGAATGCCTGAAAATGAGTATGTTACATAGAACTTCCACAATTAAACTAATAAATGAATATTTGTGTGTATAAACTCTATCACTGTGTGGCTGTGCTCATCAGGTGCTTCCCTGGTGAGTATTCAGGACCCTGAGGAGGGTAAGTTCATACAACAGAATCTGGAGATTCTGCAGGACGAAGCCAAGTCCTTCTGGATCGGCCTTTACAAGACACATGAAGGTGAGCATACTGAAGTAAAATTCAGTGTTAAACTCAAAATGTCAGGTAAGATTGTAGTTGAAACAGGTCTGAGTGTCTGAATGTGAACAAAGTGTACAGTATACAAGTGGTTGACAGTCTGCAGGTACTGTATGTTTGGTTCCCACTCAGTCAAGACCTTGTTATCCAGTGCAGCTGTTTATAAGAGTTCTTGGAGTCAAAGTTCACAGTTCCTGTTCTTTTCTTCAACATATAAAGAGACCAAACACTGTGTCCCAGGTCCATAATACATAATAATTAGAAGTAGGTTCTTAATATGTGGCCTGGCCACCCTGTAAAGCTGACAAACATACTCAATGTGTGGCTATTCACAACAATCATTTGCTGTTACCATAAATCATTTAAGTATTTTGATGTATTATTTGACCAATACTACTAGTATTAAACTATTATGTAAGTAATGGTGGAAGAAGTATCTAGGTCCTCAAATAAAAGTCAAAATTGACATGCATTCAAACTTTTGCTTGATATAGCAGTATCATCAGCAAAATATAGTTATA